CTCAATAGTCTTACCCACAAGGCAGTGGGGAGCAGATCTAGCTCGGGAATGTGATTTCAGAGACAGATTGGGATCTCCTTGACAGCCGTCACACGCAGCCTTTGAGGTACTGGAACGGTTTATATATGTTTTGCGACGGTAATAGGATACACCTGCGACCACGGCCAGACGCAGGTGGGTTTTGGTGGGTTTGCACCAATTTGACCAGGGGATGCCTGGCTTGAGGCGGGCAGTAGCAAACCATTGAACACCCGGAGGTGTCCTCCCACCGTCAGAGACAATGCGTGGCACTCGTGCTCTAGGCCAATCAAGATGTGAGCTTATAACCCGTAAACCTGTTGTCTCCCATGGCTAGGTTTTACGGGAAGAGGGCCATCGACCACTTCTTAAGCTCCGAAGAGGATGGACTAGGATACTGGCAGGGCGCCCACTCCTGACAGGAGAACGACTCGGGTCTTCAGCCAAAGTCTTCGATTAAATGAACATCCGAAAGGCAGCGGGTCTAGCACATGGTCAGTTCACTGACTCATGCGGATTGGTGTCCTGGATCTTAGCAAGGAGAAGGGCGAAACCCAACGGCCAGGGCATCAATCATATATATATATATAAATGATTGATGCTCTGGCCGTGGAAGATAATTAACGACGCCATAGGGACTGCATCGTGCAAGATGGATAGGGATTTGGATGTTATTGCTGAAGCCTTCCCGTCGTCTTATTCCCGCTCCTTCGCTTTTTAACTTTTATCGTCCCGTTTCCAATTCCTTTTTATTCCCCCGCTTGCAACCCCACAATTCCTGGCAATCCCTACTATGTATTGATAGGTGTTCATCTTCTAGTTTCAACACATGCAAACGCGGAGCGTCAGTGTTACATTACCGACTAGCCCATGTCTAACCGAGCGATCAAGTCAGGTTCATCGGATTCTTTTGGAGCCCCCGATGCTCCATTACATAGGCATGCCTCAACGTACGCACACTGTTACAGATCGGTTAAGAGGTAGTACTCCCCGGAATATTAGAGACCCACTCGATCGATTTCTGCTGCTTATCGGAAACCCGCTTGCAAGACTCAAGCTCTGTGCTCACTCTGCGAGCCCCTTCAGATGACGCTGGCAGTGCTATCTCGGCGTCTATCGGGAGATGATGCAGCTTTGAGTGTCGGCTACCCGGCGTGATGTATTGCCCTGAGTCCCAGAGGTGAATCTGCTCTGGTTGATTGGATCACAATCAGCAATCGGAGGTGTGCCATCCAACTGGCATGCTCGTTCAAAGCCATGAAGTCGCGCGGGCCAAATAGGTGTTTGATTGTCATCCCTGCTTAGGCCACCACAAACCGTAGCGTTGACTCGTTGAAAGGCAACTTCAGCCCCCAACTGAATGAGCTATTTCATCACAGAAGAAGCAGACACCGTAGTGCTGGCGGGGGACCGGATGGTTCAAGTTTGGAAATTATTCACTGATGAGCGAAAGCTGGGCGGCCAATACAGTGCAAGTGCACGATAATGACGAAAAGTTAATCTATTGGTGTGAAGATATTCACTTATTTTTTTGCGAGCACTAACTCCCGACACAAGACCCGCCACCGAGTAACTAGGTCCACACCAGCCTCAAACTAGCCATGGACGCAAATCGGTTACATCGTGTTCAGTTTACCACTAGAGAGGCTGCGAGCAAATCTGTCGCTCGATTTGGAGCCCATGTGTGGACAATGATGATGCAACTGTATGTGCTGATCTGCGGGTGCGTTATGGTGGACGTCCGCGACGACGCTGTGAGCGCAGAGACACCTGCTAAATGGCGAAGCTAGATGTTCTGTATGCGTACTGAAGTGCGCTGGCATTCGGGTTGAGTAAGCACTCATTGAATGCAATTGTAGGTCACTGCTCGCATTTTCACCAGACCTTATTAACAGCAGGCAAATCCTCATGTGGTGAACTTAATCGTCAAGCTGGACATAGGATTTCTACACAGTTTCTGGGAATTATCAATGCTCACCGGTACATAACAAGTGGAAGCGAACACAGAGAATAGCAGAAACCACATGGCAAAACGGCGTGCTTTCCTGAAGATGGAGCGCGAGGCCTGGTGGTCTCATCGTGAGTCGGAGGTGAAGTGGCCGCTGCCTTTGGTAACCAACGGAAGGTAATCCGTCTGATACGTGAAACGGGCAGAAGGAGACCTGGTGTTAGTGAAACTAAATGCGACGACAATGAATAGCCAATTCACAACTTGTCGAAACGCTTGGCATGTTGGGCTGAGCACTTTGAAAGGTATTTTAATCGGTCGGAATACTTGCGGCACAATAGCGGAGGTGTTTTCTCACCTCCAGCTGATGTGTATAATGATGATGATGATGATGGTCGGAATTGTCAGATTTCTCGCCAACCAGTGATCGCGCTGCTCCGTGGTCTGCCTCTTTGGATCCGCCCTTTCGTTCAGAAGCCGGAGGTGAGATCGAACTGTTGGAGGTGAATAAAACCGCGGGACCAGATGACCTTCATCCAGTTCTCTTCAAATTCGGGGGCCCTGCTCTTGATGATTAACACGAATTACTAATGAAAATGTGGGAGCGGAAAATTGTCCCAACCGACTGGAGCCGCTCTGTTATTGTCCCGATCTTCAAAGGAGGCTCGCATTCGGAATGCGGCAACTATAGAGGAATCACTGATGAATAGTTGGGATTTTGGTATAATTTAGGCAGGGGAAGATGAGCCGGGCTATATCGTAGTCAGTTGTCAATCAGGCAATTCCACGGCTGTCACCCATGGCAAAGTGGCACTAGCTGCTGGCAACCAGAAGTCATGGGAGCGGAACCCAGCTCAGGTCCGCTGTGAGGCGCACCATTGGCGAGACCCAAAAGGTCGAAACGCCGGCGTCTGGTGCTTTTCCAGACTAGACTAAGCCTGCTGATTGATAGTGGCCATGATAAATTGGCTGAATCATAGAGGAATTAGTTTGATCTTCGTCACCGCCAAATTACTTGCCTATCATCTTTCACAGATTGATTGTCACCCGCGAAAGCCAAATTCGTGAGAAGAAAGCCGGGTTTAATCGAGGTCTGGATTGTGTTGATTAGGTTACATCAACCGTTGGAACACCGTAACATATACTGGTGGTCCCAACTGTCATGTCCACTGACATTAAAGGTGCCTTACGTTCTGCGAGTCGATAGGCACTTTGGGACTGCCTGCTAAGGAAAGGTGGCCGTTAAATATGTAAATACTATCCAATTGCTGTAAAGACATCATCAGTATACCGGTACGCGGTACTGACGCTTTGCTACTGCGCAAGTACCACCAGTCGCATGTGAGCTACTGATGCTGCGAGGGTCGCCCGGTCTCTATGCAGGCTCGAACCCGCGCCATGGGATTACAAGGCCGGCCTGTGATTGTTAAGGCAACGAGTCGGCGAGCGCTGTAAGTGCATAACTCGAGCACCGCTTTCAATATCTCCAGTGGTGCAATACAGGGATGTCACGTGTCACCATTTCTCTTCAACCTCGCTATTGGCGAAGTCTTGAAAGTCGTGTTCATTGGACACGACTTACAAGGCGTGGAGCTGCTCCCAAGTAATCGACTTTTTGACCTTGATGGTGTTGGCGACGTAGCCCTTATTTGTGGCAGCTCACAAACGTACCAAACTGCACTGTACAGATTAACCCTGCCTGTCAGCCGCCTCGAGCTTTGCTTTGTACCATTGAAATGCAAAGCTTTCCTCCATGCTTAGCAGGGACCAGTTCCTGCGCTGACCCTTGGTTGAGATCAGCAAGAAGTCGCTCAGAAATTCAATCACTTAGGCAGTTGTATCGTCTGTGGGATCGAAGACATAGTCACGAACCACACAGCAAAATCTCGAGGTAGTTTCGTTAGCTTTAATTACCTACAGCACCGGCACGACATCATTCTCGCCTTGAAAGGTAGTGTACAATGCCGCCGCATGTTCGACCCTCCGATACGGTTGTGAAACCTGCCCCATTAAATCGGCAGTTAGTTAGGTACGACCACCTGTGCCTCTGCAGTTTGGTTTATATATGGCAAGAACACCGCGGGAACAATGAGCGTGTCCGGCGCCTTGTCTATGGCACAGGAAGAGGAAGTGAACTGCTCAGCACCGTTATACCACGAACTATGGTCCGATGGTTAGGCCACGTGTTGTGCACACCAGCACACCGACTCGCGCGACGTACGTTATTGACGCGACCGGTGGTGTGGATTGAAGAAGAGGAAGGGAGACCAACCGACTACAAGGTCAAGAGGAATGAAGGCCCTTAGTTCGAATATAGACTCGGTTGGAACTTCTCGACTCCCTGGTTGGGACCAGAAAGACGATGAACACGTTTGTCTAGATACACTTGTTGACATGGATAGGCGTCGACTTCATTGGCCTTTGTGTTGTGAGTTTCTTTGTCTTTCGCCATCCCGCATATCCTCCGCTTTCAAACACAATCTCATTCCGGAGGCAGAACAACTTTAATTGCGGTACAACAGCCGGCTGCTAGCTCTCCGAAACGAGGTCCTTCCGTTACTGGTGACTCGGAACGGGTGCCTATGTTGCACCTCAATTATTTATTGTGTATTACGGCATAATGGCTGATGTTTCCCATGCCCATCTTTATGTGTACAATGAATGTAACAATAGAATTGTGTGAAACACCAGAGAGTAACAAAAGTTCTAACGATTGCAGGTGGAAGGACTCAACACTCCGATTCAAAGATATCGTTAATACTCTGAAAAAACTGTGTAAGCCGTTGAAATACGATGAAATGCGACATAAAGTAAAAACAAGTTAGTAGTGGTAAGACATTTCGGGGCCATCGAAAAGCGATTATACCATAAAGAACTTGTGCGATATAGCACTTCGAAGTCACCAAGGATTTAGTAAATAAATCATGAAGCATTTTGGGACCTGAAAGGCATCCAGTAAGGTGAAAGTATAGTTGGCAAACACGACCAGCAATAAAACAGATAAATTAGAGAGACGATACAAAGTGGTACGTACCGGTGACCTTCAGAACTGGATGAGAAGAGGACGTAAGCAGGATGTTTTGTGGTTTTAAGTCCATGTGAGTAATATTCTTCTGGTGTAGATATTGTAGTGCTAGGGCTGCATCAGTAGACGGTTAATAATAAATCATTTGAAAACACTCACCAAGTTGCCGAAGAAACCGACGAACGACAACTTCTGACAGCCGACGTTTTACACGAATAAGTCGACTCAGGTCACCACCTGCACAATACTCCATGAGCAGATAAACTCTGACAGAATCCCACTACGTCGAATTTATGATGCCATCAGGGTAGTATAAGAGTACCGAAAAGTCCAACAATCGCACAATGTGCGGATGGGTCAACTTTTGAAGAATAGATATTTCTGTGACGAGATTGTCCTGGCCACGCTTGGTAAGCTTGACTTTTGGAATGCATTTGATGGCAATGGGCTCAGCAGAAGCCTAAAACCACCATTTGTGTGTGTGTGTAAAAAAGGTAACCAAATACTTTCGGTCTCCCAAGATAAACTTCGCCGTAGGACCCTTGGCCAATTTTTTTCAGGAAAACATAGTCAGACAACGTGCCCATTGTTATTGGGCTATTATGAGAAGTGTGCTAAAGAAAATTGTCGCGAATTACCTGTAGACAAGGAGTTTTAGTGCAGTGTAGTGATAAATAGACACCCCAAATTAGCGAAACACATTAGTGCACTATTTACGATGTACCCGACCAGCGTAACTTAAACGGAACTACACTAGAGAGACATCTAACTCGCGCTCATGTGTTGTCGGTGCACAACCACACCCATATCGTCACTAATCACAATGGTAAATAATAGGGCAGTGTGAATAATTCAACATCACAGTGAATTAGATAGAAAGCGCTTCAGATTCAGATGGAACTGGCACGTTAGGAAAATCCAATGAGTGTTCCTTCTTGAGCGGATCCTTGAACCAAGAAGTGAAAAGGTGCTACGAGATCAGCCAATTGCTGCCCACGCTCCCTGCACTAGCAGTCCCCGCTGTGCCGGTCACGTAAAGTAAGAAAGACGTAGGAAGAAAATGGAGGAGAAGGAGGAAGAAAAGTCATTTAAGTGAGAATAATGTCAAAGAGTGAGAAGCATAGAACATGAAGTCAAAGTTAAAAGATGGATACGATCAGAAGAAAGGAAACGCTAAGTATTGCCACCCAAGAGCGCCTAAATGCCGCTCAAAACTCTTAACCGTAGTTTCACTGAGTATATTATCTGAAAGCGTTTCAGCGCTCGATAACTTCACGCAATAACCGATTTTCGGCCCTGGTCCGGTCGGAACGTGGCTTATGCAGCTTCATGGGATGACCGCGAAAACAAGGCAAGCTAGCTGGGCTAAATAGCCAGTACAAGTCCGGTTCAACTTTCCCAGTTGAAATGCGGTAAGTGAGGATTGGGTATCCTTGAAGCCGTCGGTAGTGCATTGAATACATCCCAAAACTAAGTAAACGCTCGGGGTACGTTTGCCCTCGTAACCTCCGACCATCCATGTACCCACTCGCAAGAACTTATCGAGCTCCACTTTGTCTCCAACGAGGCAGGGTGGGTAAGCCTAGATGCAGTATTCCAAATGGGGCCGAACGAAAGCAGAGAACAACTTCACAAAGATGTCGGCAATTAAGGCTCCGAAGGAGCGGCGTATTAACCACAACATTCTGAAAGTCTTAATTGCAGCCTCCTTCAAGTTATCGCCCGAATACAAAGTCGAGAAATGGACGACACCTAAGTCAGCTTCGTTAGAGACAAGGGGAGTTCGACCCCACCGAGCAGGTATCTCGAAGGTGGGAACGGTGAGTGGGAACGGAACACTTGGCTTGATTAATTAACAGTAGACACAAAGTAGACCAGTTCCAGAGCCTATCCATGGCATGTTGAATGGTTTTAGAACTCCCAGGGACATGGACAATATTCCACAACCTGATGTCATCAATTAGCAAACGATAGCGATGATATGGAGAGTTCCGGAGCTGCTTTCTCCCAACAATACACTCCAGGACCGACTGGTTTCGTCCTGATTTGGATACGTCAGGCAGAGATAGCTTGAGGTGAGAGGGGAACCCAACACTGTGGTTGACGGCTTTCCTTTTGGTCACTAGGCCAGAGCCCCACGGCAGTGATGATACCCCAAGCTCCCCACGGAGATCGTTTACGTAGATGGAGAACAAGAGCGACACAAGGACCGAGCCGTGGAACACTTCTTGCAAGCATGCCGCATCGTTGGCGACAATCTTGAGTGTAGCAGCCAAAAACCCATAGACGTAGAGGTGCGGGTCTCTTCAACTGTTCAGCGTCGTACTGTGAAATGAGAATATCGCATGAGGGAAGAGTATCCAAGTGTCGGACAGGGACAGGGTAACACATATCACATTTTTTATGCACCGCAGGTTGGAATAACGGCACAAGTGGGACTGGAACGGTAGGACTATCTTCAGCGGGTCGTTGAACCAGAAGTTGGCAGACTTTGAAATACTGATGGACCTAAAACAAAGACTGCATCACACCCTGTCCAACCAATTAATGCCCACTTATCCGGTCCTAACGGTCCCTGCTGGGCCGGTTGCGTGAAGTAAGAAAGAGAAAAAGGTAAACTCGGAAAACAAGAAGAGAAAGTGGAAAGAGCTAGACAAGTAGAATACCAAGGTACCTGAGTAATCAAAAAAAGAACTGAAAAGTGAAGGTGAGTCAGCTAGGAAAAAGGAAAAGTTGCCTGTTGCCACCCGAGAGCAGCGAATTAGCGCTCTAAACCCTTAACCGTAGATTCCGTAGCCACATGATCAGGAAGCGAATTCCAGCGAGACATACGAGTTTCACGGCTAATCCTATAGGACCGTGGTTCATGCAGTTTCAGTGGGTGCCCGCGCAGATTAGATAACGTACTGGGACTAAATAGCGCTGACAAGACCGGGCCAATCTTACCCGTCAAAATACGATAAGTGAGAATCAGGTCCCCTCTTATCATTCGGTAGTGCATGAAGTACATCCGCAAACTAAGCAAGCGTTCAGGATCTGTCCCCGTAGACACTGCACTAATCGAGTGCCCACTCGTAACACCTAGTCCAAGTCCATTTTGTTTAGGAGAAGACGTTGTGGACAAGCCTGGATACAATATCCCAGGTGGGGTCGGAAGAATGCCGAAAATAGGTTCACAAATAAATTGGCCGTTAAGATTCCGAAAGAGCGGCGGATAAACCACCTCATACGAAACACCCGACAGACACGCTTCTTCCAATTGTCGTCAGAATGAAGTGTTGATGAGCGTACGACCCCTAAATCAACCTGAGTGACAAGAGGGATTTCACCACCGCCAACATATCCGGTGGAAGGATTAGCAGCTCCAATCCGGATAACAGAGCACTTGGCCCTATTTATGGGCATCAACTATAAGGTAGAACATTTCCAGAGTCTATCCAAAGCACTCTGAATTGCCTCAGGACCCCCGGGATCTCAACAATATTCCACAGTCTAAGGACGTCAGCAAACGTTGGTGATGACACTCCTAGCTCTCCCGACAAGTCATTTACATAGATCACGAACAACAATGGCCCCAATACCGAGCCCAGCGGGAAACCACTAAGGACAGTTTACCTGAGCGAAAGGCTACGCCCCACACGTACGCACTGTTCCATCGCCTCAAGGAAAGCAGACACGCATTTAAGAGCGCGACCTGATATACCTTAGAATCTCAACTTTAATGAGAGTCGAAGATGAGAAACAGTGTCAAAGGCTTTCGAAAAGTCCACGATTAACCCGACTACAGCGCGGCCACTGTCTACCGCTTCGGCCCAGCTTTCATCAGTTACAAGTAGATAAGTCTGACACGAAAATCCATTGAGGAATCCATGTTACGCAACACTGAGAAGGTTAAATCTATTCAGGTGGTTCTCCACTGAATTCCTTAACAGCCTTTCAAACAACTTGACTACTACGCTTGTCAAACTGACAGGCCGGTAGTTCGCGGGCAGAGCGCTGTCACTGCCCTTAAAACTCGGAAAGATGATTGCCTCCTTCCATTCCAAAGGTAGGATGCAGCTGTCAAGTTATATCGAAAATACGCATGTGAGAGGACCACTCAGTTCAGTGGCCACTTCATGCAACAGCTTCGGATGAATTGAATCAGGACCGGATGCTTTAGAAGGATTAATGCTTTGTAGTAGCTCGAAGACCTGAGTTTTCGTTAGGTTAAACTCAGCTAAGCAGGAATCCTCTGGAACTCTTGAGACCAACAAAACCTGTGGTAAAGAGATCTCCCGAGCAAAAAGCCGAGTCTACTGATCTCTAAGTATACAAACCTCGTCATAATCAGTTTGCTCAAAACTCCCGTCTGCTCGCAATAAGACGGGTATGTACAGTTTTGCACAACTGCGTCTTTTAACGTAAGCAAATACTTTTGGGATTAGATGCGGCCGAGCTCGCTAAACTCTACTCGTACTGGAGACGAACATTTCTGAGATGTCGCTTACATTTATTTCTAATCTCTCGATAACTATCATAGGTACTGGCTGATGGAGCTGCTTGGTAGGTTCGCCAGCATCTAGACCGTTTCTTGAGTAGGTACTTGCCTGTGGTATCTATCCATGGAGGCTGTGCCCTTAACCCTCTTTTCCTCATGAGTGGAATATAGAGAGTGGAAACCTCCGTAAGGTATGCCTTAAATTTATCCCAGGCTAACTAGAAAGAGTCGGCCATCGAGATCTCGCAGTTCAGAACTGAAGCCTTAGCTCGCATTGCACTAAAGTCCGCCCGCCAAATATTCGGAAGTAATTCAACAGCGGTTCCTTGGTGCCTTGAAAGAGCACATCGAAAGGATATGCATGCGTGATCACTGGACCCTAGAGGTGCACCATACAAAACATCAATCACGAAGTTGAGAGACTTAGCGAACCCCAGATTTAAAGTAAATTGTATTTGATTATTCATTTACCTAGTGGGGAAGTCCACGAACTGGTGCAAAGGCACTTGGAGAGTCAGTTTATGAAAGTCTGCAGCGAATGTTCCTGACGCCGAATTGCAAGAAAGAGCGGCCCAATAGACTTCCGGGAGGTTGAAATCCCCTAGAACTAAACACTTAGTCGCAGACTGAGTGCGAATAAAGTCAGTTATCCCTATGGAAGAACTTTCAGGACTCCTGTATACCACTACAACTGTAAACACGAAACAGCCGATAGGGTTACAACAGTCTGATCTGACGACTGGAATGTGCAGGTCCTCAACACATCTAGGTTACAGCTCCCATATGGTACAACGCCTCCGCCTTGACGACCAACGGGAACGATCAGTCCTAACCAGTGGGTAGCCAGGTAAACATCTCACAGTCCGCGATACCCGGAGACAACCCCGTTTCAGTGGAAGCAAGTACGTCGGAACGAGATTTGTCTACAAGTAGACACAACCCGTGTAGCTTGTTCCTGGGTCATGCACCATCAGGATGGGTTCTGATGGGGCGGAAAATAACTTCCGGCTAACCACCTGAAAACGCACCAGACGGAGGCCTTGCTCACCAGCCGTCCGTCTAGTTTTTAGGTCTTTGATAGCCTCCTTCAACTTCAATCTATCCGCTATTGGAAGGTCTGGCTGAACGCTAACAC